TATTGTTGAATCATCTTACTCTTCACGTAAGTCATACTGGAGGTTTCTTCGATTAGCACGGGCGCGSCGCACAAAACSTTTCCCGCCCTTTTTACAAAATCACGCGCTCGTACCATAATAGACCGAATCGGCTTCAACCCAATTCAAACCACTCGGGAGAAAGTTTCATTGTTCGTTGTATTTTCATTTCACAGTTGAATTCTTAGAAATAAAAGTTCTTTTTCCTACAGGATTTGAATTGGGTGGCAACGCACATAGCAACGCCGTTAGCCGATTAGGTCTATTTGACGCGATTGATCGCAACATATCAAATGCCCAGCAGCCATTTTCCAGCATCCCAAAATCCTCTATTTCATTGCTGAGCTATGACTGTTCACTCTCGTAAAGTAATGATTATTTTTTTTAATAGTGTTAAGTCCAGATTTTGTTATTTTAAAATATKAAAAGTTATTTTRATATATATTAGAGCAAACACARGAAAACCATGAAATAAAATCAAACTAAATACTAACAAATAGCGGCTATTTAGAGACAAATTGTCAGTATCAATGAACCAGAACGCAATCAAGATGAATGAAAAATGGTCTTGTTTGGATTCATCTTCATTGTGTTCTGGTTCATTGATACTGACAAWTTGTCTCTGCCGCTTTGAGTTAGTATTTAGTTTGATTTTATTTCATGGTTTAACTGCGTTTGCTCTATAAGTAAAGTGTTACATTGTGATTCTCAGTTCAAACAAGTCAAAGTGCACTTGATATGCTTATGGTACTTCGAGTTCTYAGACTTGTGAAAATTATTGGGAATGTCAAAAGGTAGGTATATTAAAATTCGATGCATATGAAATCCTTTTACCTATGAGTTGTAGGGAAGTGTGTCGGGTCATATGTGTGCTTTAATCCCAGGTCCTTTGGACCGAGGTCAAGTCAAACTGTACCTAATCTACAGTGCTGTGCAAATTGACTCGTTATTGTTTTTCAGGTTTCAAGTCATCATTGGTACTTTAATGCAGATTGGTCCTGCTATTTCTATCTACGGCACTGTTATGCTTGTGAGTACGCGATTACGAACGACCAGATTGCAATGCGCAAGCGCAAATTAGGTCTGAATCAAACGTCGTACTTCACATGGGCGACATTTGACTCAAGTACGTACGGCACATGAACTATGGCGACGTTTGACCTAGTCAGCCATATGTTTGCAGAACTAAATTATTAGATCAACTTAGCACAACTAAGTACAACGTTTGACCAAGGTCATAGAGACGTTTAAATCTGAATCAAACGTCGTACTTCTTTTTGTAGATTCTCTATTACATGTACGCAATCGTTGGCATGGAGCTGTTTTCTGGTTCAATCAAGTGGCAGGGCTATCCGTCCAAAGGAGGAAACTTCTCGAAACTATGGAACGTGACGGCGATGTTTTGTGGGAMTGTTAAACTGAAAGATTCCGATTTTTATACAGATCGATACTGTAATAATAATTTCAACGATATTCTAAAATCTTTTAAGATTTTATTTGATTTGACTGTAGTTAATCAGTGGCATGGTATCCTTTGAAATCATTTTATAATATCGTCTTGCGTGCTTCTTGATTTAACTAAGTATAACTCCTTAGACTTTCTTATTTCGTTGCTTTATTCTTTCAGTTATATTAAGTCTGACTCCACTTTTTCAATCTTTCTTTGCATTCATATTTGCATCAATTTAATTTTTGCCATAAATCATCCATCTTTTCCTTTCTTTATGTATCTTATCGCTTTTCAATCTTTCTTTGCATTCATATTTGCATCAATTGTTACCATAAATCATCCATCTTTTCCTTTCTTTATGTAACTTATCGCTTTACTTCAAAATTGTTAACTGGTCAGATGTGCCTTGACAAAATAATAAGTCATTACGCGTGGATTCGTGCTAATAACAAACCAATATGCCAGGATATATTTCATGTCGTTTCATTTAATTTGTGTCATAGTAGTTCTMAAGTAAGTAAATCATTGTSTCAATTGTTGACTCATCCTCRGGRACCCGGTTACCGAGGATGTGAATGCTTTTTTGAAAATTTTTCTATACCGTAAAACGCAGTATTATGTTATATTAAGAAAACATATTATTGCCATTGGAGAAAGAGTGATTATTAATGAATTTCTTTATTTTTTTTCAGTATTTTTGTAGCTTTTATTCTGGAAGCGTTTATGCTTGAATACTCGTTTACTCACGGCAAGTTTGAAGCAGTGTTCGAAAAGAAAATAGAAGAAAAAGGAGTTGGYGTCGGAGAGTAAGTTTTTCCTAGTTCATTTGATATTATTCACCATAATTTAACCGTAGAAGAGCACTGTGTTTGAGATATAATAGTAATAATAGATAATATTGATCTATAATAATTCTTACTGTCTGCACACGTAAGCGATAATCACATCTGACTAAATAATTAACCAAAAGCGTTATTATGTTCAAATTGAAACAAGGGGGTTGTGGGGAGTACAAATTTTACACGTCCCATCACAGCTATATACCTTACTGGATTCCTTACGTCATCAGTGCTCCTATAAAGGTTCGCGCCGAATCCATAACTAGTCCGCTGGACAAAGACTTCTTTTCTGATGACCAGTCTCAAGACTCCGAAMCTGATCGGAGCGCAACGCTCAAGTCAAACATATCAGTGGAACAATGTGCGCTTGATTCAGGCTTGAGATTCTGTTTACCCAAACAACAAAAGAAAAACGCGGAGACTTTGCTTCAACAGATGTTTGAATCTGAATTGGAGGAAGATGATTTAGGACCGAAAGGAATCGAAGACCTCGATGATCTTGATGACTTGGCTGAGGARCAGGATTTACGGAGAGAAAAGCGATTAAACTTTGGCACCGTTGACTGAATGGTACTCTTGCCATATCGCATTTGAGCGCACCTTTCTCTTGCACGACTATTGCTTGGAAACGAAAGAGCCTGAGAAGTGCTGACTTTTCAACGCTACTGTACTCTTACCAGTAGGCAGCTTTTCTTATTCATGTCACCCAAATTAATAAGCAATTCGAGTTTTTTCACGAAAATAATATTCTTGCTGATAGTAAAAACCTTGCATACTGTGGCTGGCTATTTGGTTCATTGGTAAGAAATAACTAAACTTTTTCATGTATAGGTGATTGACTTTTATATGAACCTTGATTTAATTGATTGATATATTATTTATATGTATAGTTTAAAACACGAGAGAGAGTGTTTTATCAGGTATAAAGATTTTTATTAAAGCTAGCCAAACAAATTATACAATTTAAGATGATATATATCATTATTATCAAATAATAAATGAATTATTTTTGAAAACCCAAAGCCCACATGCAATAAAATGCTTGTAAGAATATAGATCATTATGAGTAAAGTCTTCAATACTGGCAACGCCTTTTATCATCGGCACTGAGAAACTGAACTGGAATAATCTACAATGTTAAGAGCAATAAGTGATAGTCAATAAATGAAGACAGACGTCAATGATGACCGAAATATTAAAAATTAATCGAGAAAAAGGAAATCAATGAGCAATAAAAAACACATATCGTAAACATGCCTTTCATTGATTATATTGATTTTTTGTGCAATCATGTACGCACTAATAAATATACCTATAAATTAAAAACTATTTGAATTACATTTTTTCTCGTCAATGCTTAGTGTACTGTCGTGCACAGGATATTTGAYCGTGTCTTCCCAGAAGTCTCTCAAATATTCTTCTTCCTTCCCTTAATGCACTGTGAGATGCGATAGTGTAAGATTTGGGATGCTTCATTAATTAAAAAATGTCCACACTCGAGCCGGCGGAAACTCAGCACTTTGACTTGCTCTCGAGYTCATCGTTCTCTGCAGAAAAAGACAAACATATTAGTAAAGCAACGACAATAAATCTAGAAATTTCTCTTGTTTGTAACTGTTTTGAGGGCTATGAGGTATACACAGTGTTCATGAACAGCCCCTTAAGAATAAAGAAGTATTTGATTATCTTCAGAATTAACTTCAATCCGTCCATTAACATTTCCCTCAGAGAACATGAGACACTAGGCAACGAAAGCACAGCATAGAAGGGGCCTTAGGTTTGACACTTACTTGTCAACTCCCTGATAGAAGTCGTTGAAGGACCACTTCTCACRTACTTTCTGTTAGTCCTGTGAAAAGAATTTTTTGTTTAAAAAGAGTTTTGGGTAATACATAAGTATTTGCACTGGTGACTGCAATATGGGTGTTRCACTTTGTACCTCCAAACTAGGTTGTGCATGTGTAACGCTTGGCGCCAAAACTACATAATTATAGTACTAATTTTAAAACCACTCTCATCAGTGATTTGCTCATACCTCTTCAATCTCAGCACAATAACAATGGCGGCGATGATGAAGATAATTCCAACGCAAATACCAACGATGATCAGAATTTTCTTTCCTCTTTTCTTTCCTGTTGATGAAGCAAAATGAATCTATTCTTAAAATTCTTAACATTTAGTTTATAGGTAAATCGTTCATCCTACCATTGTCCATTTCTCCATCCAACAAGCAATACAATCATCAATCGATTCTTAAACGTTCATCTATCAATGATTTGGTTCATAATTGTATCAACTTCTTATTCATTGCCTATAAAGTGTTCAGACTGTTATGTGGTGAATATTTTACTCATATATATATATTCTATACATTTCTTTTTTCAATGCATATCTCTATGATATTATCGTAAGCTATCGTACCTTTTTCTCCATGATGTAAAGGACAGGCTACTTCACAAGTACTCTGTTCAGTCAGCGGTATTCCATCACACGATCCTTCGGTCGGTGTGCAGGTGCGCGTTCGTTTAATTGTTTGAGAAGGATGACTGCACTCTTTCATGCAGTCATGCAGAGATGCTTTCCACTCACTCAATTGGACACCTTTAAATTAAAAACGCCACGTTGTGGTACTATCAGTTTGTTAAGTAATGCCCCGAGTAAGAACTAGGGAAGCAAACGGCACAGGAATGCAAGAAGGTGCTAATTGCGCATTGTATAATCCATCCATCCCATTGGTTAAAACATGAAATTCTGCTATAATTTCATTCGTACATGGGGAACTTGCTATGCCGCAGAACAATAGAGAGTTCCCTAGTTCTTTAGCGCATTGTTACTTAATTTAGAAAGAATAGTTCGTTCAGAGACAAAGTAGACAATAACGACAAATATATTTCAAATATGTCAATAGCTGTGCACAATTGARAGTTATTGCTTGAAGAATCAAGAGTCTAAAACCTGGGTATCTTTGGCAACATCCTTACCAGTATAGCTTTCAGTAATTTTCAAGGAGTCTGGGTAGATGTCCAAGTTTTTCATCTGCCCGCTATTAATGGCGTCTCTCAAAGCCTTCTCTGGATCCTCCGCAATAGAGCCATTTTCTAATATCTCGTAAACAGCCCCAACGTTGACAACGACACTTCCTTCCTTGAACTTTATCTCAATGAAACGTTTAGCTTTCGACAAAAATTGTTTCAGCTKAAACAGAAATGATTTTTTATTAGATTTGGCGTAATGTTTCCAGTTACCTTTTGTGGCTATTACATAAACTGGTTATACCCATCATGAATTTTCAGTTAGAATTTAATATTTTTTGAATATTAACCAGTTGACCAACCTTGGTGCAGAGTTAGCAGATGCATTTCCCCTTACACTCCCGCACCCATGGAAACCAATTTCCTCCCTACCCATTATTAAATCAAGCTTTACCTCATTCATTACTTCTTGGGATAGGCTTTGGTATGCATTCGACTTGCTGTCAGATAGATCCTTATGAAATTTCTTTTTCAGCCTCATCTCAATGTTCTTTGTTACCTCTTAGAACAAAAAGGAAAACATGCCAGTTAATATATTGAAACTGAATTTATGGCCACATGGGAATACAAGGGGTCATTGGTTTGGACGTTTTACCTGCTCGACCACATACACAACGTGTATATGGCTCTTCACTGCTTGAAGGACCTTTCTGGGAATGGGGACTAAG